TCTTGGTTCATTTTTTTAACAAAGGGAGATGATAGAACTCCTCTCTGTTCTTCAAAAACAATGGAATCCATCATGTTTTGAATTAATTTTTTGAATGTATATTATATTTTCTTTTTTTAGTTGCTTAAATGATAACTCATCTGAATACCTCCCAACCATTCTAGTTTTTAAGAAGAAGCTCACAAGATACACTGAAGTCACTTTTATTTATTTTTTTTAATAACTATTACATATATTGGTCTAGTTGCTCATGTACATTTCTACAGAAAATTATAAATGTGTGTATATATATGCATGTATGTAGGTATATAAACACATATTTTAAATAGGCATTTGTGTGTTTGAGATTCTATTTTGCAATTCTGAGACTTATTCAAAGAAGATGAAATACGAGCTTCTGTTGCAAGCTGTAATAAAATATATTGTTAGCTTTAGACAATGTAGAATTTCATTATTAATCCAAACTGGAGTTGGTGAACTATTTTGTGCTTAAGCAGGCAAAATACAAAGAGATAAAAACAGTTTATAGGAAAAGATAAAAGTATCTATGGAACAATTGGGCATTCTATCTCAAACATCTTAAAATGCATCCTCTCTCACTAATCTTAGCCTTTAAATGGTCAGCTAGAAATATTCCATCTGCAAACACTGACAGAGAAAAACACAGAAAATACCTGTCTCAATATGCTACTTACACTGTCCTGTTTAAATTTTGATACATGCAAAAGTACCGCATTTGATATTTATACTAATAGTCTTCATTTAAAGACTGCTACACTAGCTGTCATAGATTTTGTATCTGGATTTATAAACAACTTTCTCATGATAGTGTCTATATTTGTTTCTTTTTTGTCTGGAAATTCACTGCTAGACTGAAATATGCTAATCCTGAAGCCTTTGACAGAATTCCAGATCATTTCAGCAAAAACATCAGAGTTCCTTTCAGAAGAAGATGATATAGGGAGAAAAACATTGCTTTCAGAATTTAAACTTGATGTAGTGGCAAGTGATAAAAGAATGTATAGAACTTAGAGCTCTGTTTCTTCTTATGAATCAAGGACTGGAAAGTAAATGAAAATTTTTTGTTAGCGGGTTTTTTCTGCTGTCAAGAATATTGCAGAACTGATGAAATGATAACATATAAAATCCAGGTATTTATTTAAATCACAGAATCACAGAATATGCTGAGTTGGAAGGGACTCAGAAGGATCATCGAGTCCAACTCTGAGGTCCTGCACAGGACCATCACCATAAGTCACACCATGTGCTTGAGAGTATCATCCAAACACCTCTTGAATTCTGTCAGATTTGGTGCTGTAACCACTTCCTTGGCGAGCCTGTTCCATTTCCCTGCCATCCTCTGGGTGAAGAGTTTTTTTTCTAATATCCAACCTACACCTCCCCTGACACAACTTCAGACCATTCCCTCAGGTCCTGTCACTGGTCACCACAGAGAAGAGATCGGTGCCTGCCCCTCCTCTTCACCTCACAAGGAAGATCTAACTGCAATGAGGTCTCCCCTCAGTCTTCTCTTCCCCAGGCTGAACAGACCAAGTGACCTCAGCCACTCCTCATATGGCTTCTTCATCATCTTTGTTGCCCTCCTTTGGATGCTTTCTAATAGCTTAATATCTTTCTTACATTGTAGTGCCCAAAACTGCACACAACATTCAAGGTGAGGCCTCCCCAGTGCAGAGCAGAGCGGGACAATCCCCTCCCTCGACCGGCTGGCGATGCTTTGCCTGATGCCCCCCAGGATATGGTTGACCCTCCTGGCTGCCAGGGCACTGCTGACTCAGATTCAACTTGCTGTCAAACAGGACACCCAGGTCCCTTTCCATGGAACTGCTGTCCAGCATCTCATTCCCCAGTTTGCACGAACATCTGGGGTTGCCCCATCCCAGGTGCAGAATCTGGCACTTCTCCTTGATGAACTTCACATGGCTGGTGATTGCCCAGTCCTCTGATTTGTCAAGGTCTCTCTGCAGGGTCTCCGTGCCTTCAAAGGAGTCAACAGCTTCTCCCAGTTTTGTATCATCTGCAAACTTGCTTAGTATCCCTTCCAGTTCTGCATCCAAATCATTTCTGAAGATGTTGAAGAGCACAGGGCCCAAGATGGAGTCCTGTGGAACCCCACTAGGGACAGGTCAGCAGTCTGATGTTGCTGCATTCATTATTACACTCTGTGCTCCACCCAGGAGCCAGTTGTTCACTGACTGCATGATGCGTTTATCCTCTGTCTATTCTGGACATTTTCTCCAGAAGGATCCTGTGAGATACAGGATTGAAAGCTTTCCTGAAATCCAAAAGGATCACATCAGCTGGCTTCCCTTGATCAACTAGGTGGGTTACCTTGTCATAAAAGGAAATCAGGTTGGGTAGGCAGGACTTTCCTCTCATGAAGTTGTGCTGGCTGTGACCAGTGACTGTGTTGTCTTTCAGATGTTTTTCAATACCTCTCACAGTAATCTTCTCCATAACTTTATCAGGCACTGAAGTGAGACTGATGAGTCTGTAGTTTCTGGGGTCCTCCATCCTGCCCTTCTTGAAAATTGCGACAATGTTCAACACCTCCCAGTCAGCTGGGACCTCTCTGGATTCCCAAGACATCTTAAAACCATCAAGAGATGTTGTGTGATGACATCAGCCAGCTCTTTGAGGATTCTGGGATGAATCCCATCAGGCCACACAGATTTGTAGTGATCCAGCTGGAGCAGCAGATCCTCCCCAATTTCAGGGTTGACTGGGAGTTGATTATTCTCACAGTCATGGTCCTCCAGCTGAGGACACTAAGACCTCTTTGGTCCATCATCCGAGTTGAAGACGGAGGCAAAGAAAGTGTTAAACACCCTGCCTTGTCTCTGTACCTGTTTGTGAGTTGACCATCCCCATCCTGTAACAGACTGATGATATTGCTCTACAGCCTATTGTCATTACTGTACTTGAAAAACCTTTTTATTGTCCCCCACATTTCTGGCAGCTTCAACTTCAGCTGAGCTTTGGCCGCATGAGTTTTCTCCCTGCAGCGGCAAACAGCATCTCTGAATTCTTCCCATGTCACTTGACCTCGTTTCCACTGGGCATGTACTTACCTTTTTGCCTTATTTCCAAAGGGAGATCCCTGCTCAGCCAAGCCAGCCTTCTGCCTTGCATGCTTGACTTCCAACATTTGGGAATTGCCAGTTCCTGTGCCCTTAGGAGGAGATGTCTGAAAAGTGACCAGCACTGCTGGACCCCAGCACCTGCAAAAAACACTTTCCCGGGAGACCTTACTTACTAATTTCCTGAGCAGCCTAAAGTCTGCACTCTTCATGTCCAGTGTTGAGGTTTAACTTGTAAGAAATATATATATATATATATATATATATATTTATATATATTTGACTGTTACATTTCTGCTTAGCTGGAGGTTGCCCATCCCAAGCTTCTTTCTCTGCCATCCACTGAAACTTCCTGTCTCTGTCTATCAATTTCGGAACCAATTGTCCTGAGGACAACCTGTCTTACTATTGAAAACTGAGGCAAAGGTGTTAAGAACCTCAACCTTTACCTCATCTTTGCTGACTATGTTCCCCCCAATGAAAAATGAAAAACCCCCAAAGAATGGAGGTTTTCCTTGTCCCTCCTTTTGCTATCGATGTATTTGTAGAAACACTTCTTGTTATCCCTAACAGAAGTGGCTAGATTGAGTCCAAATTGTGCCTTTGTCTCTCTAATTTTCTT